TAACTAATGCAATTTACATTAGACATTAGATTAACGACTGCCATGACGAAGCTATGTGGGACTAGCGGCTATAAATTGTGACTGGAGTGTACGTCGTTGTGGGAGATTCAGCAACGACGACTAAGATGGGGATCTCTTCAAGACTGCACTGGGATGGCTGACCGTTTCCTATGTGGAAGCTATGCGGATGCCATAATCTGGATGAAGAGCTGCAAGTTAAAGACATTATTATAAAGCCCGCAACTGGCAAAGCCAAACATGATGACCACGATCTTAACTACGTAATCCCACATAATCCGAAATGCCACATAATTGATATGCTACTGATTGACTTCCAGTACTCTGCCTGGGCGTCGTCAGCCATGGTTCTATTCTTTTTTAGTCACCTGATGTGCGCAACAACCAACTAGACGAACTTATTCAATACTATTATAAGCTGCTTGTGGGTATCTGCGTGAATGATCATTTATTAACTACCGAAGCTCAGGCAATTTCTGCTGCATAGGTGAGCACATCTCGTACATATAAAGAAAACACCTATTATTTATTATTCTAACTGTGAGCGCTTCTCTGGCTTCTCAGACTTTGAGACAATCCGGATGGCTGTGCTCTAATTCTTGACGATGGGCGAGTGCGAAATATCAGAAGAATGCAGAATAACAATGGGCGACAAGAAAATGTTAAAAAGCAGCTGCCCAAATTTGATCGATGTGGACTATTTGATTTAATACATTGATATTTATACCTGCATATTAAAATCCTCGAAACAAATAGGCCAATAAATGTAAATAGACGTTTGTCTAATAGACGAGTTTGACTCTTGCATTTGTAGCAGCTCACTCAATCTTCGAAACTCATAAAACAGTTCTCAATAGTATTATAAAAGTACTTGCTATATTATAATTAGATCGTTGATTATTGTAGAAGCGTATATACACGGCTTTGGATAAGAAATAATCTAAAAGTCCCAGCCCGCGTACTCCTTGACCACATCTTTGTTTTCCTTACGATGGCGATGCACAGCACTCGCCTCTCCCTTCGCCACGCAACGCTTGCGCTGATCCCGCTTTTCCTTTACGTCCATGTTGCGACGTATGCGATCTGTGATCACAGACGGAGCTATCGTGCTGGCCGTTGTGGAAAAGGAGCGCTGACTGCGTGCATCGTTAAGCATCTGCTCAACCATCTTAAGGCGGTACATGCGCGAATTGGGATCGAGGCCGGCCAGCTCTGGCATTTCATCCGTTTCCAAGTCGTTTGAACTGATGGAGTGCACATCATCAGCTAGAGCAGTTGCTTCTTTTTCCTTTGAACCAAAATCAGCAGTCTCTTTCACAGCGGTATTAGATTCGCTAGTAGAAATGGGCGACTCTTGTTCGGGGGCAGCCGATTTTGGTGTTGTTGCTAAAGCGTGATCGGATACCTCGGGACCTACAGTCAGATTGCCTAGGTATTGCGTGCACGACTCAATGTAACGCCGTATCGCATCATCCGACTTCTGCTGTGTAGGCTTGCTCTCGCTATACGATACTTCATTCTCCAATTGCCTGCGGCACTCATCGATCTCAGCGGCTGCTGCGGGCACCAGAGTTGGCGGCTCGTCGTTAGCCTCCTCTTCTGCATTTTCCACCTCTTCAATCATACCGTACTCCTGTAGGAGATCCTGCTCCATTTCCTTGGTGAAGCCATAGCCTGTGCAATGGACCTCTGCGTCCAAGTCATCTTCGCGCACCAAATCGCTGAATTTGGGATAATCCTCGCTTTCGTAGCCAAATTTGCGTCGGAACATCTCACGTACACACGTGACGTCACGGTCAAAAAAGCTGCCAAGGATGGGAATACATTAATATTGAATCTGATTTCTTTTTCAGCCACTAACAATTGAGCGTTCTCATGGGCAGTAGACATCATCTGAGGGAAATCAATAAGTATGGGCTTTCCATCATCGGTGAGCATTAAATTGAACTCGTTGAAGTCACCGTGAATGACACCCGAATTGCCGAGACGCACGATGAGATTCATAAGGTCATCGTAAACTTGCGGCACATCCCGCAACTCATGCACTTGTGTCCTATAGGAGAATGACATAACTTGAATGGAAAACAGACTCGGCTGAATTAAGATCTACTTACATGGGCCAACCGTTGACCAGCTCCATAAGAACGCAGTGCCGATTGAAATCAATCGGCCTGGGTACAGGAAAGCCGCGATCATATAGAGCAGACATGTATGCAAACTCTCGTGTAGCAGAAATACGAGACAGGTAGAGCCAAGAGGCTTTGTGCCGGCGTCCATGATAGTCTCGCTTAGACTTTACGTTGCGGAAACAGGTGCGACCCAGGCGATGCAGCTTCAAGCAAATAGGCGTGCCCTCCTCATCGGCAACCACATATATGTTCGACTCTTTGCCAATGCCAATCTGGTTGCCAAAGGAGCTAACAGAGCCACGCAACGTGAGAGACTTCAATGCGAGATAGTCATAGCCAGTGTTGGTCAAGCGATACCCGTCATCTGCAAAGCAAAATTCAGTTGTTAATAACATAATACAGGTATTATTTAACGTTTTGCCTACATTTTTTGCCACGCTCATAGGACAGCAATTTGTGCTTGCAGAGTTCTTTTAGCAATTTATGTACGCCTCCAGTTTTAAGGTTGGCAATCGCAGCAGCCAGTGGCCCTGGCACCAATTCATGATTCTTCATGCCCATTTCGATGGCTGTGAGCACACGAAAATCCTCTCTGGTGAGATAGCGCAGCACCGTGACGTTTAATTTACCCATTCTACTGTGGTTTTCAATAATTTACGTGCATTGAATTTGTTTTGAGTCTTACCACTGACCAGAGAACACATAGACTAGACATGTAGTACAAAGTTTTTCAACACCGAAAAATCTGACTCATAGGGCCTATCAATTTCGTATTTGCTCGGCTCTTCACTTTTTAGGTTCGGGCTACGAAAATATGCGAAGGTACAATCATTCCGCTTCATGCGCTCGACCGAGATGGTCAAATGTTGAATAAAAGATGCCTCTATGCTCAATTTTTGTGAGCTGCTGCTTGTGCTCACATGCATACATACATATACATATTGAGAGAGCAGAGAGCAGAGAGAGCGAGAGAGCAAGAACAAAAATTGAGCATAGAGGCATCTTTTATTCAACATTTGACCATCTCGGTCGAGCGCATGAAGCGGAATGATTGTACCTTCGCATATTTTCGTAGCCCGAACCTAAAAAGTGAAGAGCCGAGCAAATACGAAATTGATAGGCCCTATGAGTCAGATTTTTCGGTGTTGAAAAACTTTGTACTACATGTCTAGTCTATGTGTTCTCTGGTCAGTGGTCTTACACGTGCAGGTAATACGATTACTGAGACCAATGTATCGATATTGGCAGTAACATGAATTTCGATAAGTACTCATAAGGCAAAAGTATCGTAGAGTTATGCATTATTTTTTGGTTGGCAATACTCGGTCACACTTCGTCTGGTCGTCGTGTACAAAAATCAATTACTATTACTGCTGAAACTGGCTACGAAAAGCGCTACCGCGAGTAAACAAATCGCCAGTTAAACACAATTAGGAATAGAAGTTGTACGTGTTTTTGTTATAAAAATATCTTGAAGCACCATTCGCTCTGCGCTTGTGTTGATTTGTGTGTGCGAGTATGTATGTGAGAGCGGTCGCGTTAATATGTGTATGTGTGGCTGCGTATGACTCGTGCTTTTTGCCGACATACAACAAAATGAATAACTGCCAAAAAAGTGGGCAGTCAGCGGCCGCATTTACCATTGCACGTTGTAATACATAAGCCAAACGAAACGTGTAAAAACTGCCGCAAACTAATTTCTTCTATTGTCATTGAAAATATAAGCAATAATGCATCCTTGCCCGTGATCGCGTGTAAACGTGCATGTTTGTGTGTATGCGTGCGAGCTTGGGTGTTTGTGTGTGTGAAGGTTGCATTCAAGTGCAACCAATTCAATTAAAAAAATAAGTAAATAAAATCTAAATCAAAATTTCCGATCTCTTCTCCCCGATTCTCTGTTGTGCCATCCCATTCTCCCATCTGACGAAACGACACCTGTCAAGCAGTAAATTAACGGAGCAATACATTTGGGAAAATGCAGATCAAAGAATTGTAAGTAAATTTAAATATTTATAAATGTTTTATTTTTTTTCTTTCTATTTATCTATATGTGGGTCCTTCTCAAATTGCAAAACGTGTACAAGCCGCTGATTGTGATAAAATCGATTTTACGCTCATTTGCTCTCAGCTGCGACGCACTCGCTCTCTTTCTCTCTTGCACTCTCGCGCGTTGCTGTTGCTGTTGCCGCGTTGCCAACCGCTCCAAAATCCAATTTATCAACTTTCTACTTTAAATATGTGTATTTAGACACATTTATTTATTATTTTTTTTTTTTTTAATATTGTTGAGCAGATGTTGTCATATCCACAAGAACCGAAAGTGTTCCGCTTTCCACATTTATTTGTCATTGCTAAATTTTTGGTTGTTTACAAAGACTTCGTCGATGACGTAATGAGCGTCGACGCTAACTTCGGCGATTGGATTTCGACTCAAATGAGCGCTTTTAACTTTTTTATGTGTTATTTTCAATTATAACTTTTATTCAAAAAGCACTAAAATGTTAAAGTATATGAAGTTTGGACTTGCCACGTTAACAATTGTTATCGTTGGCGTTGTGAGCGTTGTAAAGTTTGCAATGCTTCTCTGCTTTATTGTGTGTGACTCATTTTTGCCAAGCAACTTTCGCTATCCCTCTCTGTCTTTCGCCCCTTTGCCTTTTCATTTTCGACTTCACTTTTGTGCAATTTTACGCGCCGGTTTCCCAGCTGCGTTATCAGTCGCTGCGCCAACAACCACAGCAACAGCAACCATAATCAAACAAGTTGGTAATACTGATAACGTCGTCGCCTGTTCCTATTAGATATGTGCATGTGCGCTAGTGTGTGTACTTACTCTTTCTCTCTCCCTCTCTTTCGCACTCAGGTTAGGTTCGTGCTGAATGCCTGATGTATGCGCTATAATTGACTAGAGGGCTATTTAGGGCATTACTTAGACAATTTAAATGCTAAATTATATTCTGGAATAGCGATAAGCGGAATGCGCGATGTGGGGAATATTTATACATGTATATATATATTTATATACATAT